CACACACACACACACACACACACACACACACACACACACACACACACCAGTGATGGTAAGTACGTACATTTACTCACCAGGTACTTGAGTATCATTGAGATGGCTGTACTTTAATTGAATACTCTCATTTTTCTGCAACATTTCAGAGAGAAATATTACTATAGATTCTTAGCAACTAGACATCAACACGATACTTAACAAATCAAATGTTGACATGTTGACATAACAAGTGATTAACTTTGGAAATGATAATGCATTGCAAAAGAAGAAATAGCACACAGTAAAATGTGTTTCAGCTTCACAAATAATCTGCAGCCTTTCCCTGTTTTAAATGAGATGGAACGGAATCATTTTGATGTTTGAAGGTCTTACATTACGCTCTGGATAACTCTTACATTTTACAAACCAAACAATTCAATAAATCAAGGAAATATCAATAATGAAAATAATCTTTGGTTTAAGCCCCAAAACAATTGCAAAACATTTGCTCCTATTTCAATGTGCAAATAGATAGGTTGTTGTTGTTGTTGTTTGGCTTGAAAGACACAACAACTGACAATATTATCTCAATAAATACATGTATGAACAAACTGACACATGTTCTATTACACAGATGGTTATGGAAAGTTAAAACTACATCTCCCCCTTCGTACAATTCCAGAGCCTCTGGCTCCGCAACTACTTTACTCAGAGCAACTGTCAATCACAGCCGTCCATTATGATGCCCCCCGCCCCCCTATTGTATAACTTTTAATAACTAATTAAAACAAAACTCATCTTGCACAAACATCTGCGTGATAAGACCTAAAGTGACAGAAACCATCTTCACGGAAAACATATTTGCTGTGTACTTTGACTTTCCCATGATCGGTACTGCAGCCAGCCACCAGGGGGCGACCGGTATGTTTTGGCTTCACTCTTTGATCATGTTAAGATTTAAGATTCAAGATTCAAATTCAGTTGAAAACAATCTATGCTCTGGACAGCAGCCAGGCTTCTATAGCGGTGAGCATGTTGCCAAGAAAACGAAAGCGGCTGTGAGGCACCAACAATAATACGACTTGCAAACGCATAATAATATGCATAATAATAATATATAATAGCACATACATAGTGTCACCATGAATGTTATTAGATATATTGTATGAATTCACATCTTCTTCCTTCCCCACTGAAATGCACATACAGACACACCTTCCTGCAGCCTTTACACATGCATGCTACAAAGTTAGCGGTCCAGCTCAGTGTAAGCGTTACATTTATCTCTGCTCTCCAGAAAAGTGCAATTTTCTCTTTTTTTTCATCGCCCTCTTTCATATTGATTTTTTTTTTTAGTTGAGCTGCCAGCAATTACCAGATTCAAAGCTGATGACAAAGTGACCAATCTGAGATGATTGCGTCTGTTTAAAATGCATTATATCCCACTGTGTTGGCTGGCATGTTATCAATTCTATTGAACTTTCTTTTTTTATGATCGCCTTGGAAACTTAATGACAATGCTTGGCTGCTTTTATTTTTAACTGCCTATTTTTCTTCAGCAGTATTGATGCTGGATGCAAACAACACATCCAGTGCCTCCGACTGATGCAAATTGCAACCAGTATGATTTGTCGTGTTATGTTATATAGCAGCTTTGTGTTTCGAAAGATTGTTCCAGGAACCAGTCAAGAGGCTTCTCTGATTCAAGAATTGAATGGTGGCTCGTAGAGCTCATTAACTAGATGCTTTTGTTTTAAACAGTAGCTTTTCCTTTTGCAACAGTTTTCTATTGTCTTGGGTGACAAAAAGAAGGCACCATGCAGATTGAAAAAAAACAGCATCAAGGTTTCTTTATGAGGGTCCATTGACTGAAGAGAGTGAGCAACTGTCAGGTGAGAGTGAGTAGATTCATCTGTAGAGGAAAATGGTACAGAATGGTGGCAATATTCTTTAACCTTAGTATCACAATACTGCAGGACTGAAGTAAGTGGAGATGCTGCTTCTGGACAGCCCGGTCGCCAAACATGTTTTGGCATTGTACATTTCTGCAAACCATAGCATTGGGTCAGATATAATTAGGCATAATAACGATTATAACAAGGGACAAACTTCACTATGGGCGGGTGGGTCAAACAAACACAGGGCTTTCACTCAGGAGGCTGCTGTTCGTATCCTGTGTGAAACCAATACGTGTCACTGACTTTATGCCTATTGTGTAACGTTGTAGAACGTGTTATATAATGTAGCATTAAGTTCATTATTTACGGTGGTTACGTTGTTCCGGTTGTTATGTTACGATCTTACGCTATCATTTAAACACAAAACATGATCTTTTTTTTTTTGCAGGCAGATGTGAAACGTATTTATTAAATATATATTTGGTTCAGAAGTGTCGACATAGATATCCCATGGTTTGCAAAAATGTACAATACATAAATGAAACCCAAAATCTTCAAAGTCCCCAAACGTCTAGACTGCAAGTCTATCAGACGTGTTTTTCACTTCACGTCACACGAGACGCACATATTGAAAAGCATCGCTCGCAAAGTTATTGTTTTCTTATGGTCTGGCGTGCGCTCCTCTGTTGTGCCACACGTTGCGTTTTCAGGTGGTTTGTAGACGTGCATAAAAGTTACATATATTTTAAACTTTTCAGTGCCAGGCATGGAGTCAGAGCGCTCGTCACACTTGACCGAGGCAGCCAATCAAATCAAGCAAGAAGCGGGCTTTACTACTTTACCGCTGACTTCCTGTTTTGATGGCGGTAGATGTGGTAGGAATGGACATTGATATTAGTAATAGTTCATTACGATGAACAAAGCAACAGCAAGCGCTCGATGTCTGCACTGAATCTATTTTTCCCCCGTTATTTACATTGGACCTCAGCTCCACAGGCTCATCAGCTGTTTTGCCCGACTCGCTTTGCCAAGGAGCGATTTTGAAGCGGCCATGCCTGATGTAATGCGTCTTGGCGTGATTGGCCCCTCACACAACAGATCACCTCTCATTTTAATCTGTGCAGATGCAGACCTCCTCTCAGCTCCATCCGACTTAAAGCAGTGATTGAGGGCTCCAGGTCTATTTCATACGCAAACGTGAGGTTGATGGCCAACAAAAAAGCACAGAATAACTGTCTCTGGCAGTCAGTGGTGTGTGTAGTTCTGTTAGCTGTTAGCACTCAGCAGTGCGTGGCCTCAACAGTTTTGTCAGCTGTTGGTTGATAGCCAAACCCACCGTCCATAACAAAAAAAGGCGTGAACTGTTCTCCCCCACTGTCTCTGGACGCAGAGCGGCAGCTGAAAGGTGGCGATACACTCAGCTGTGTGATCCCATCCGACCGGAGTCCGTTTAAGAGTAGAGAGTAAGGAGTCAGCAGTTAATCAATTGCAGTATCAAACAGACAATAGAAGGTGGGGTCCTTCAACATGCAGTCATAAATGAGCGCCCAAAATAGTATGCAGTTGTGTGCAGCAGTAGGCAAAGACGGACACAGAGAAGAACCATACACATGCACACTTTCTACCAGCATATCCTCCTCCCCCCTCTTTTGCACACACATTTCAGTGTTGACAGAGACATATTTTCAGTAGAGCACTTCCCAACACAACTGTCAATAGCCAGATGTTTTAAAAAGCTACTCAGCGTGGCCGGACCGCATGTGCAGCTCTCAACAGAGATGAAAAGGAAGCTCAATGGCTCAACGGTTAGCTACTTCCAGGGTTTTTCAATACCCACACCCACCGGACCTGTTAAGAGAACCAATCCGCACCGCACCCGACCCGACCCGCAAACTCGCAACTTTGTGCATCATAGAAGCACAATTATCAATACAGAGGAGACAAAGACAAGGACTTGCTGGGTGTTTAAGAGAGAGAGAGAGGGTGACAGAGGGAGGGAAAGAGAAGGTGGACTGTTGTACGCAATGTTACTTACAGGAGCTGCGGGACCCATGGATCGACCCGCTTACCTCTATTATATGTAGTTTACATAACCTATGTTGTCTTGAATCAGATTTATGTATGCTGGGTCACTTCTCGGCCAGATGTGGCCCGCAGGCCTCCTATTGAATAAACCGGCTGTAGATGGTTAAGGAAGAGATTGGGGCCACGGTTGGGGTTAGGGTCTGCCAATTCTCTTGACGGAGGCAGAATCTGTTCACAGACTCAGACCCACCTAAGGGCAAAACCATCCCAGAGTGTTTGGTTTGCTCATGAGATTTTGACGTGAACCGATTACAACGCTGGAAGTGAAGGAACCTCAGATCAGTGTATACTAGATGTCAATCACAACAGATCATTCTCTCGTCACATGGAGCAGTGGTTGGGGGACTAAATTGCTTTTGAAAACAGAGAATGTCCTATCACCCAGTGGAAATCACATGCTTGACCCCCACCCATCCACTGACACCACCTACTCTGCTCCCCTCTCCCTGTGCCTTGTCCCCTTCATTATTAACTGCAGTAACAAATGGACTACTACCACTGTATCTGATCTCCATCCAGTCATGCTAAAAAAGGCCATTTGCAGGCATAGAGTATTAATATCACACACACACGTGTGTTATTCTCAATGAAATAAAAGGATGTCTTGTTTGTGGCCTTGGTTAGAACGGTAACCCGCCATCTTCTCGCCGCGCCATCTTCTCGCCCGTCTATAGGCAAAACAAAAGAAAAAGTCAAATCTCATGGTTAATAGAATTTGACCCGCCCCTGTAATCGTGGAAATGCACACGGCAAAAAAAGTCTAAGTAGATTAATGGCCGACACCCCCTGAGTGTCATTGTCTTTGTTAGCGCATTAGGCATTCACTGATGTTCCGGCTGTCACATGCCAGAGGACACAGGGCTGTGTTTGGAGGAGGGCGCCCCCGACTGACTGACGGCCTCTCTGCAGACGCAGCATGTTATAGAAACATCATGAAGCCACATAGACTCTACTGCAAGGAGGACATGAACTGA